GAGCCAGCATCTTTTTTAATTGGGAGATAAACTGAACGTGCTGGACTGATATCGCAGGTAGCAGGAATGAAGACACAAGACAAGGGCCTCTCTCTGCCTTTGGGCAAATCACTGATGAACCAGGGCTCCTCTGGGGGACCTGGGTCCTAAGCTGAAGGCTGCTGCTGCTCCAGCGCTGCTCAGCATGGGCACCTGCAGCTGGGGCGGTGGGAGCTGTGGGACCCTGCCCCACTCAGAGCGAGCCCCCAGTGCCTCATGTCAGGCCACCAAAGTTAAGAGCCAAAATTGAACATGCGGCAGGCTGTCAGGTTTGGATCCTGCTGGCTTGACCCCAGAGGTACAGGGGGGAGGGCTCCCAACGGGGAAGGAGAGGAGCAGGGAGGGAGCAGAGCAGGCAGGTGTGGGGTGTCCCGGGTGAAGCTGCACCTCTGGTATCCTGCATCCCCACAGGGGCCGCTGGAGCAGAGGGGGACTCTGCCTGGACCCCTGGACTTCCCCAGCCAGTGCTGGCCCTTGCCTGTGAATGAGAGGGTTGCAAAGTTTAACCCCTTCTCCTGGGCTCCTCTTCTACCCCCGTGTCACAGAGCACTGAGGTGCCCTGCTCCTATGAAGGGAAAAAAAACTGCTGGGGAAGGAGCCCTAGCAGGGAAGAAGGAGCCCAGCTGTATGTTGCCAGGACAAACAGGGAAGGTCAGCTGACCAGAAGGGGCAGGGCCTGGTTCCCTTATAAACCCAAGGAGCTGAGACCAGAGGCAGTTTCCTGCCAGCAACCATGGAGGAAGGAGCTCTCTCATGGAAGGGATGGAGTATTTCCTGGTAGGCTTGAGCGTTGTTATGGCCAGGCAGCTTCTGTTTAAGTTATAGCCGGTGGGCTTGCATTTTTGTGTTGTTGTTTATCACCGGTGGTTTGGGTGAGGCTATTGGGGGTTGGGGGAGGCCTCAGAGGGGACTCACAGTGGAGTGTGAGGACCCCAGCGCTGGTGAGGGCGCAGCATTTGGGGTGCATAGACCCCGGCCCCAGAGCAGGGGGCAGCATCATTGAGAAAGCCCCGGAGAGGGGACACTATTGAGAAGCCCAAGTGCGGGTGCGGCAAGCCCAGAGAGGGCACAACATTACTGAGAAGCCCCAGGGAGGGGGCGGCCTTATGGAGAAGCCCCAGTGTGGGCGTGGTGAGCCCCAGAGAAGGGCGTCATTATTGAGAAGTCCCAGTGTGGACATGGAGGCCCCAGAGAGGAGGCAGCATTGTAGGTAAGGCCCTGGAGAAGAGGGCACAGAGTGAGATAGGGCCACGGAGAGCCCTAGCACTGGAGGGAGTGTGTATCAAAGGAAGGAAGGCCCAGAAAGGATGAGAGGGGGCCAGATAGTGATAGAGCTGAGACAACGGCTATTCCATCGGCGAGGTGTGGACTGCAGTGTAAGGGAGGAAACGGAGCTGCAGGTAGCACCCCCTGGCCGCGGGGCAGTACAAGGGCAGCCTCCTGCTAATTAACATCAATTAACAACAAGGCATGGCAGGCGAGTAGGCGGGTGGTTGCCCTAGGAACAGGTGTGTGGGCCACGTTTAGGCTGGCCCAGAGTGGATACCTGTTACACCCTGCTGCTTGTCCCTTTCTGTCAATGAGTGAGTGGCTCTCCCTGATGTCTAAGGGGCAGGATGGGCTGGGTACTGAGCTCCCCTGGGTCCATGGCTGTTACATTTCTCCCCCTACTCCTGCCTGCAACTGCAGCTCCCTCCCACCCTGTCCTAGGAGAAGAGGCCGCGCTGCAGGGGAGCAGGGAGATGTGAAGGCAGTTTCTGCCACCACAGTCCCAGCTGCAGGGGAGGAGCTGCCCCAGTGCCCCTGCTCCGTCTTGGGGACTCAGGACCAAGGCAGGTCCCAGCTTGAAGTGTGAACCAGACACTTGTAACCCAGGCAGTACTCCAAAAGGTACCCCCCTCTCCAATTGAAGGGATCAGAGCAGGTGCACAAGCGCTGTGGGAGGTGTAGGGACTCTCCTCCCCCTATAGAGCAGAGCCAGACCACCACTGGGGACTTAACCATATACCTTTTAATGAGGGAACATAACGGGCATAATCAGGGAGCATAGTGGACACCACAATGCCCCGAGGGGCAGGATTCAACAAAGGTTAGACACTTACAATCATTGACAAAAGACAGGGTTAACAAAACATAAACCACAAACAACAGAGCAAACAATACTGGTTAGGGAAATATAAAAAGGCACAAAATGTCAAAGGACAAAGAAATAGGGCCTAGGTACCCGGAGGGGGAGAAAGGGGGGAAAACACAATGGCCCCTTTCCCTGCAAGAGGAATTTTTCCTTGTTAGCTCACTCACCCCAAGTCACCAAAGCTGGGACTTGAACTTGGATGTCCTAGGTGGAAGGCAGAAACACTGCCACGCAGCCACCAGTGCTGGCACTACTCTAAGCTGCTAGGGGTCTTGACCTTCCAGGAGTCCCGGCCTCAGGTCAAGCTGCCTGGCCTCTGATTGGAGGAGCTGGAAGCTGAGCTGGGAACCTCTCAGGTCGCTGCTCAGATCCTTGCTGAAGCGGAAAGCCTCTCCTGCCGGCCACAGGCTCTCTAGGGGATCCTGGAGCCCAGGAGGACGCCTCTCCTGCCGACCGCACGCCGCGTTGCTGAGGGGCCCACTGCTGCCTGCAGGTCCTGCTTCTTCTGGGGCAACTGCTCCCGCTGCTGGCTCAGCTCTTGCCAGCTCTTTGATGCTCCTTCCTCGTGGTGCCTCACTGGTCTCTTCCCTGAGTCAGCCACACTACCCCTTTTATCCCCCTCCAAGTGACCCAAGGGGCCAATCAGGGGACACGGAGGGTGAGTCTCTGGGGCCTGATTGATGAGGAAAGGGAATCCCAAGTCCTCCAATCACCTTTTGCCCTTTCAAACCCCCTGGGCTAGGTCACTGCTAGCCAGCCCATCACACATTGGAGGTCTAATGTCTGTGTCCCTTTCCCTTGCAGAGACTCTGCCATCCGCCCTGGAGAAGGGCAAAGGGGGACCACAGGAATCGTACACGAAGGGTAAGCACTGGGGAGCTGGTCCCAGCATTAACACAATGATCCTGCAGAGCCCACGGCTGCCCCTCGCACAAGAGGCAAACCCTCTCCCAGCCCAGCACCAAACCCCTCGTGCTGGGCTGGAATTTCTCTCCTTGCCTATGGATTTGCAGCTACCTGCTCCCTTTCCCCCAGGCCAGGGGCTCTCCCCCGTGCCAGGCTGAGGAGCTGTGGGGCCATCGGTGCTCAGCCCCCGGGCCCAGGGCAGAGGCAGCTCTGGGGGCCCAGGACGGTGGGAGGCAGGACGGGGCTGGTGGAGAGGGGGAGGAACAGCCCCGTCTGCCCCGGGCTGAGCTCTGCCCTGACGCTGCCATTCTCTCTGCCAGCGACGGTGACTCTGGATCCAGACACGGCAAATCCCTACCTTGTTCTGTCTGCGGATTGGAGAAGTGTGAGACGTGAAGGCACACGCCAGCGTCTGCCTTACAATCCTAAGAGATTTGATACATACTCGTGTGTGCTGGGCCATGAGGGATTCACCTGGGGGAGACACTGCTGGGAGGTGGATGTGGGGTGGCAGCAGGGGTTCTGGGCCATGGGGGTTGCTAGAGACTCTGTATTGGGGGAAGGAGGGATCAGATTTAGCCCTGCAGAGGGGATCTGGGCAGTGCAGTGCTGTGGGGATCTATTCCAGGCTCTCACGGCCCCTGCTCCCACCCACCTGTCCCTGTGCCTGGTGCCCAGGAGGGTGCGGGTCTGTCTGGACTGGGTGGGGGGGGGCAGGTGTCATTTCTCAGTGCTGACACCGAGGCCCCGATCTTCACCTTCCCGCCGACCTCCTTTGCTGGGGACAGAATCCGGCCCTGGGTTTGGGTCTGGGCATAGGGGGCTGGATCTTTGCTCAAACTGTGCCATTGAGTGATGGGTGGGAGCAGCCAGGGAGTGTACCCCCCACGTGGGGAAATGGGCTGCTCTGGCTTCCCATCCCCTCCTCTGCCCCCAGGAGCTGCCCTGGTGCGAGGTGCCATCTGCACTGACAAGCCCGTCCCGTTGCAGCAGGCTGCACCAGGCCGGTCTGTCCTAGCACTCGGTGGCCCTGGAGGAGTTGAGGGCGGCCACCAGAACGGACCCTTGGGGATGCTGCCAGCTTTGGGGCCACCACCCCCTGCAGTGCCAGCAGCCCAGGGCTGGGGCTCAGGGCCAAGTGCCTCTGGGTGCCCTTTGCCCAGAGCCTGGCTGGGGCTGGGGGTGGGAGGCTACCTGGGCTGGAGCCTGAGCCCATCCAGGCGCTGCCTGTGGGAAGCTGCTGGGCTGGTCTGTGCTTGAGCTGGCTTTTCCCATGCAGCAAAGGCCCCTGGGCTGGGGCTCCTCCGAGCTGGAAGAGTTTCACTCAGGGCAGGCGCCTCCCTTCATGCGGCTCCTCCGACATGGACGGTTCCCTTGTACGGCCCGGCCCTGCGCCCCTCGTGGCTTCACGTCCACAGAGATCTCAATAGACATCTCACCTGGGGTTTGCAATGGCTTTGTCTCTTGGGCCTTCACTCCCCCTCTTCTCTCCCTACCTCTGCTCTGCATTGGCTCCTTGCTCGGGGTCACACAACAGGACATCCCCTGTGGGGTGGACACTGCTTTTCCTGGGCCTGGTGTTGGACCACGGCCTTCTTCACCACGAGGCCAATGAAGCTGGGCCAAGCTCATACTCACCCACAAGCCTCCTCGCTCCATTGTGGCAAATGCATGGCACCACGACCAACCTTCCTGTCAGGTGTTTTCACCAGGAATCGAAGGGTTTCACCCAGGGACTCCCAACAGGTAGACAGACAGTCAGAGCCACGTAGAGAAAGGAAACATCCAGCTCTTGCTCTAGTCCAAGCCCAGCTCGGAGCTCAGGAAAGTGAGATGAACCCTGACTCCTCCCGTCTCACAGCCATGGCTGCTGAGAGCACTGTGGAAAACCTTCCCGATGAAGGGACCTGCTCCGTCTGCCTGGAGTTGTTCAGGGATCCGGTGATGACCATGGTCTGTGGGCACAACTTCTGCCCAGTCTGTGTCACCCAGTGGCGGGATGGGGCTGGGAGGCCAGTAACTGCCCTCAGTGCAGACAGACTTTCCCCAGGCAGCTGGCGAATGTTGTAGAAATAGGCAAGCACCCGAGTGTACCATCAGCTATGGCGACCAGAGGAGAGGTGGTGTGTGGGGAGCATGGAGAGGCGCTGACCAGGCAGGTTAGTGGCTTGTTCTGTTGAAGGATCTGAGCACACCAGATTGGGACCCGATCACACCTGTGTGAAGGGCTGTGGCTGGAAACCAAGGAGTACCAGGCCCCAGATGCCCTTTAGCTTGCTACATGTTTGCTTATACTAAAGGAAAAGGGGCGGAGAAGGGTGCACAACTGGGGGGACAAAAGGTTGCCAGCACAATCACCCACAATGGGGATGGAGGGCAGGGGGGAGGTCTTGTCCTTCCTAAGTCTCATGGTTATTACAGTTTGCTGGTTGGGGGCCAGTCTCCCAGTGCCTGTTTGACACAGCTCCAGAAGGAGGATTTGTCTTATCCTGCTGTGTCTTCCTGCTGGTGATGGCGTTTAGGGCACCACACCTATTCTTTTTTGCATCACACCAGTGCCAAAGCACCATAATTTGGCACCTGGGACAAAGCCTGCAGTGGCAGCCTACCCTTAGCCATGCACTGATCCAGGGAGGCAGACCACCCCACCCCACCCCACCCCACCCCCATGCTTTCTAGGGGTGCAAGCAGCAGCAGGAGCCGCCCTTCCAATGTCCCCATGCCCCGCAAAGGAGCCACTCACAGCTCCATCCTCCACACCGACCTGGCTGGGCAGCGCCTATTGGTGCCCAATTCACTTCAGTGCCAAGGGCAGTTGCCCCGCTAGCCCACCCCGCTTGCTATAGCACTGCATCTGACTCTCTGGCCAATCGATTGTGCAGACTCTATGAGTATGATCTGGGCAATGGTCTCTTCTCTATTGGTTGCTGGGGTCTCTGGGTTGCTGCTCTGCAGTCCTCCATAGTTTCTTCTCATCCGCTGACCTTGAATTACAATTACTTCGTAGGATTTTGTTCCACCAGAAGCTTTGACTTTGGCCTGTGCCAGTGCTGGTTTCCCTCTACCAGGTTGCAGCCAGGCTTTTCTCATGGGAGTCCGATTCCTCATCCTTGGCCTCATCAGTGTCTGGGCTGGGCTACTGCCATATTTACTCAAGTACAAGATGATCCTGAATATAAGATGAACCCCCAATAATTAAATTGGATATATGAAAAACATTTTAAAAATGATTCTATAGTTTTCCAGGTATAGAATCTTATTATTGGAGATTTGCCTTCAATCTGCCTCCCACCATTGCCACAGCTGGGAAAATATATTGTGGGGTGCGGGGAAGGTCTGTTAGCCCCACTTCCCTCCCTTGCAGCAGTCACGGGGTACTGAGGGTGAGGCAGGAACTCCACTAACCTTCTTGTCAGGTGTTTTCCACCTCTGCGTATTGAGGACACATTTAGGTTTGAGGCAGGTCAGTGAAATCCTCACCAAATGTGTGGAATTTGGGATGCCATGAAGAAATGAGACCAAAGGTTTCACTTTTTTGCAACAACCTGCTGAAACCAGAGAGCAGGACATCACAGAGGAAAGGACATGCAGCAAGACCTAGGACGTTGGGGAGCTGGCAGAGTCTTTGAGCAGAGACTGAACACTGTGGGGCATGAAAGACCATGTAGTGTGTTTGGGTCTCATAGGTAAAAGTTGGAGGCTCGGATCCCACTGATCCCTGTGCAGGGTCCAGGAGGGGATGCTGGCTATACCCCAGCCCAAGAGATGCCTCCCCATGCCTGTCACTGGGGGAGGCAGCAAGGGGTCCATCCAGGCCCAGCAGCAGGTCTGGGGTATTTGCCATCTCAGACCTTGGAACATTAACTATGATGGGAGGTTAATCGGGGGAAAGCATTTGTTGGTTTTATTTTCTCCAGACCACTTTTCATGCAATTCTTAGCCCAGCAGGAGAGTTTTATGCTGGAAATCTTTTGGGTTACAGCAGGCTCACCTAGAGGTGCTCTGTGTTTCCAATTATTGGGCAGTAGATTAAGAAGCTTCCCATTTTGTTTCCATTCGATTTGTCCTCACCACCTCTTCACATAGGATTAACAATCACCAGGAATCTAAGGGTTGAAACATCCAACTATTGCTCAAGTCTAAGCCCAGCTCTGAGCTCAGGGACTCTTCCACTCCCACAGCCATGGCCACTGTGAGCGCTGTGGAAAACCTCCCTGACGAAGGGGCCTGCTCTGTCGGCCTGGAGTTCTTCAATGACCTGGTGATGACCGTGGGCTGTGGGCACAACTTCTGTCCAGCCTCCATTGCCCAGTGGCAGGAGGGGGCCGAGACAGATGTCACCTGCCCTCAGTGCACACAGAGCCTTCTCGGGAGGAACCTGGGCCCAAACAGGCAGCTGGTGAATGTTGTAGAAATAGGCAAGCACTCAAGTGTGCCATCAGCTATGGGGACCAGGGGGAAGGTGGTGTGTGGGGAACACGGGGAGGCTCTGAAGCTCTTCTGTGAGACAGACCTAAATCCGAGGGCCGGGCACACACTGCTCATGCTGTGGCTTCCATCAGCAATGTAGGAGTGTGCAGGATGGGTCAGATGGGAGGGCAAGGTAACTTGGGTTGACTTCAAATTCCTTCGAGGACTGAAGTCTTCTTTCCCACAGCTGCTGCTGTGACTGCATCGCTTCAGTCAGGGCTTGTTCTGTGGAAGGATCTGAGCACCCCATTGCACCATAATGGTGGGAGGGAGGTGGATACATTTGTGTGATCACATCCTTCTGTTTCCAAAAAGTGCAGCAGGGAGGCTGCTCCTGTGGGTCTGGACACACACAACAACTGAACCATTCCCACATGTCTGATTGGGACCCGATCACACCTGTGTGAAGGGTTGTTGCTGGAAACCAGGGAGTTGCAGGCCCCAGTTGCCCTTTAGCTTGCTACATGTTTCCTTATACTAAAGGAAAATGGTGGGAACATAGGGATGGAGAGGGGTGCACAACTCAGGGGCTAAAGGTTGCCAGCAAAATGGCCCACAATGGGAAGGGAGAGGGGGCAGGTCTCCTCCTTCAGCCCAGTGCACATGGAGCCTCCTAAGTCTCATGGTCATTGCAGTTTGTTGCTTGGGGGCCAGTCTCCCACTGCCTGTTTGGCACAGCTCCAGGAGCAGGATTTGTCCTATCCCGCTGGGTCTTCCCACTGGTGATGGCTTTCATGGCTCCACCTGTATTTTTCTTTGTGTCCAACTCTGACCTCTTGCCAGCTGATGGTGAGGGCTCAGTGAGAGTTATCTGGGCACTGGTCTCTCTGGGTTGATGCTCTGCAGCCCTCTACTGTTTCTTCTCATCTGCTAACCTACAGTTACAATTACTTCATAGGACTTTGGTCTACCAGCAGCTTGGACTGTGGCCTGTTGCCA